GCGTAACCAAGATCTATATAAGTACCTTGTGTATAAGTATAAAAGTACTTATACACAAATACTTATAAGTAATATGCGTATTTAAGTACTTATAAGTACTTATATGCGTATTTAAGTAGTTATACCTTGTGTATAAGTACTTAAATAAACCTTGCGTGTCCCTGTCTTCCTCTTTCACGCCCCGTCTCTCAACATGATCCTGCCTTTCTCTCCCACTGTGTCTTACTAACGAACGTACATACATCTCGCTTTCGTTAAACCTTGAAAACGGGTCCGCGTACACAAGGGCAGACAAACTGATAAGACTTATTAGACCTCTTATCTAAGTCGTTGACCATTACCTCTAATCATCATTTTTTTTTTTTTTACTCTTAGGATTAGTTGATAAGAGTAATACGTGACTAAATCAAATTGAGGAAAATGCATGTTCTAGAAAATCACTGCTGACATTGTGTAAAAGAGGAAATATGACATTTACATTAAAGAGGAAGGTTTATGGTACTAGATAACTATTTAAGGTCAGTGTATATGAGGCCATTTGCGGTTGGATATCAGCAAGACTGCTGGAGTTACTGTATTATTATCTTTTTATTTTAATGATTGCGTGCGAAATCTGTGGTGATTGGGTAAAAAAATTGGTGTTATTTTTTTATGAGGTGAAGGTATGCTAAATTATTTAAAGATGAGTGGATCTCTCTCTCTCTCTCTCTCTCTCTTTCTCTCTCTCTCTCCCTCCCTCCCTCTCTCTCTCTCTCTCTCTCTCTCTCTCTCTCTCTCTCTCTCTCTCTCTCTATATATATATATATATATATATATATATATATATATATATTATTATATTATATATATATATATATATATATATATATATATATATATATATATATATAATGGGTATTTGAACCCATTATTATCATCGGCCTGATGGAATAATTATCATCGTCAACTTATCACCTCCTGTCATTGGCTATCAGTTATCAATCATCCCTCGATAAGCAAAACTTTAGTAAATAAATTGATAAATGAATAATGAAAAAACGAAGAAAAGTGATCATTATGATAAAGTTGATCATCCATTTACCGTCACTTTGTAGAGAAAAAATAGCATACGAAACAAATAGATATAAGATTAGGTTTATGGTAGATGCAACAGCCACAAGGTTATGTGACTGAATATATCTGAATTCATAATATCATCCATTTTTCCTGTACCTAACTTCCCACATTCAGTTCTTATCATATATCTTCCTCTGTTTTTTAATGGCAGAAAATTATCTCTATAGGCCTATTTACAATCTGATATTGAATGTACAACACTTGTTGAACATCACTCATATAAATCTATTAATAACACTGTATTGAAGGACATGTTGCAAGAGCTCAGCTTAATCTTGAGTATGCTGGAGTACCAAAGTGATAAGGCATCAAACAAGTATTTCTTTTGCCTGACCTCAAAGTTGAGATTGAATGCATTTTCGGAGACCAGCAATGATCCAATGAAGTATAATAATCCTTTATTTATTTATTTTTTTTTTTTGCAACTTGGCTGCCACGTCGGACAGCTCAGGAAATGTTATTTCCTTGACACCCAAACGTTTTGACTACAAGAGATTTCGTAACCAAGCTCGCCTCGAATTACTGAGGATCACAAGTTTGTTCTTGAAGTGGTCAGTCACGTAGCATAATACCGGCACACTAAGCATTCGATCCAAATGTTGATGCTAATGTCATCTCACACATCTTCTACACATTGTTATCTATTTGTCCATCCGTCTGTCTATATATGTAGGAGTATAAGTATAATTATGCACATACTTGTATCCTTACCTATCCAATACACACTCACGTGTATATGTGTGTGCCTATTTATAGACACACCTGTGTGTATGTGTGCGTGTGCATGTGCTTGTGTATATATATATATATATGTGTGTGTGTGTGTGTGTGTGTGTGTGTGTGTGTACATGTATGTGCATATAGTATATAATAAGCTACAATATTGAATTGTGAACTGGAGATGGCGGGTTGATATGTGTGTGTGATCGTTGCCCCGAAGTCTGCACTTTCATAGAATCAAACATCTGTTCGACCAAAAAACGTCATCTCTAAATATATGTGTGTGTGTGTGTGTATATATAATGAATATATATATATATATATATATATATATATATATATATATATATATATATATACATCATGATAATTACAATTATTATTATTATCATTATTATCATTCTTGTTATTATCATATTATTATTCTCAATATCATTATTTCCTATTGTTATTATTATTATAATCATTGTTATTATTATTATAATTAATGTTATTATTATTATAATTAATGTTATTATTATTATAATTAATGTTATTATTATCATAATTAATGTTATTATTATCATAATCAATGTTATTATTATTATAATTATTGTCACTATTATTGCTGTTGTTATTTATTCATTTATTTTTTATTATTTTCATTCTTGTTGTTATCATTATGATAATAACTATAATTATTATCATTATCATCCTTATCATTATTATAATCATTATTATTGTTATATTATTATTATAATCACTATCATCCTTATTATGATTAATGAATTTATTTTCTTTACTATTATTATCATTATTGTTAATGATATTATTATTATCATTATTTTTATCATCATTATCATCATCATTCGTATTGTTATCGCTATCATTATTCTTATTCATATTATTTTTTCTTATTATTAATAGCTTTTTATTGTTATAATAAGAATTATTATTATTCTCATTATTATAATTATTATCATAATTATCTTTATCATTATCATTATCATCATTATTATCATTAGCATTATCACTATCATTATCATTATCATCATGATCATCATTATTACTGTTAATATTATTATTGTTATCATCATCATCATTAATATTACCATTATTATCATAATCATCATTATAACTACACCCACTGTTGTCGTTATTATATATATATTTTTTTTCTTCTTGGCAAGTATACTACACTGAAGTAGTTAGACCGTCAGTTCATAACCATTTCTTACTCACACTGCTATCTGAGGAGGGAGGGGAGGTAAGGAAGAAGGTAGGAGGGGAAACGGAAAGGAGGGGGGGGTGAAGAAATGGAGACTTTTTAGACGAAAGAGGGGAGAGGGAGAATGAGAAGAGGAAGGGAGGGAAGGAAGAGAAATGGGTAAGAGAAAAACGAGGGGAAACGGAGTTGATTTATAGAAGGAAAGGGGGAATGGGTAAAGGGAAAGAAAAGGGGAGAGAAAGGGGGAATGGAGGAGGGAGGAAGGGAATAAAGGAGCGAAGGAAGTTAAGGGTTTAAAGAGGAAGGGGATGGGTATGGGAGGGGAGGGGGGACAGTTTACAACTTGGGGGTAGAGAGTAAAGAAAAAATGCTAGTGACTAAAATAACAATGATAATGATGAAAATGCTGTTACTACTACTATTATTACTATCAATATTGCTACCTCTACTATTCGTATTACTATACTACTACTATTACTACTACTGCTGCCATCATTACTACTAATAATAACATTAATGTAGATCCGAATATCAACAATGATACTGATAGTAATAATGGTATTAAAGAATGACAGTAATAATGATAACAATTATAATAATGATAATATCAATGATAATGGTGATAGCAATAATGATAGTGATAATAATGAAGATAATAATAATGATTATTATGATAATAGTGGTGATGATAATAGTAATAATGATGATGATGATAATAATGATCATTATGATAATAATGGTGAGGATGATAGTAATAATGATGATGATGATGATAATAATAATAATGATAATAATAATAATAATAATAATAATAATAATAATAATAATAATAATAATAATAATAATAATAATAATAATAATAATAATAATAATAATAATAATAATAATGATAATAATAATAATGATAATAATGATAATAGTAGTAATAATATTAATGATAATGGTAATAGTAGTAATGATAATGATGGTAATGATGATAATGATGATAATAATAATGATAGTAATGATAATGATGATGATAATGATGATAATGATAATGATAGTAATGATAATGATATTAATATTAAAATGATAATGATAATAATCATAATAATAGTGAGAATATTATGATAGTACTAGTGATAACAACAACGGTGATGAAAAATGTTATTGTAATAACAACAATAACAATAATTATATAAATGATAATATTAGTAATGATAACAATGACAAAAATTATACTAATGCTAATGACAATAATGAGAATGATTATAATAATGTTAATGATAATAATAGTAATGATAATAATAATGATAATGATAATTATGACTATAATAGTAGTAATGATAATTAAAATAATAATAATGATAATGATGATAATAATAATGATGATGATGATAATAATGATAACAATAATGATTATGATCATAATAGCAATAACAATGATACTAACAATAATAACAATTGTAGTGATAATAATAACCATGATAATTATGATGATTATGATGATGATGATAGTGATGATGGTGATGGTGATGATGAAGATAAAAATAGAGATGAAGATGAAGATGACACTAATAATAATAATGATAATGATAACAATAGTAACATCAGCAACAACAACAATGATAATTGTGATAGTGATTATACTGTTAGTCATCTTAATGATAATAATGATAACAACAATAATATCAAGACCGACAGCAACAACAATAATAATAATGAAAATAACGATAAGGATAATAAGAATGACATTGATGGCAATGGTTATGTGATGAAATGAAGATAATAATGATGATGATGATATTAATGATGATACTGATAATAACAGTAATAATAATAGCAATGATGATAATAACGATGTGATGATAATAATAATGATGATACTGATAATAACAGTAACAATGATGGTAATGACGATAATAACGATGTGATGATAATAATGATGATAACGTAGCATGAATAACAATGAAAATATAAATGAAAATGATAATAACAACAAAAATTGCGATTACATATCAATAACTCTAGTACTTATCAGTATTAGAGCTTACTGTATTGATAAGAAAAGCCATCCAGAATATTTAAATTTAGCGCGTTGAAATTGACGCCTGCGCAGGTGTCAGGACTGAGATCAACGGGCCAATCATCGCGGAGGAGAGCGGAGGCCGGACCAATCAGAGAACAAGGCAGGGGGCAAAACGCGTGAACGGCTCTTCCTGGACCACAGTATAAAAATGATCATGACGGCGTCAACATGCTCTAGATAATAAAGACAAATTTTTAAGTAGTTTCGTTAATTAGTTATCGCTGGTTCGAGAGGAGGGTATTTAGATTACCCTACGGGTTATCGCAGGTTTTCCCCGGTGCAACCCTTTGTGCTTTGTTCCTGACGGCGACTTTGCAGCCGATTTTTTCTAACATTTAGTGAAGTAAAAGGAACGTGTTGGTTGAAAGGATGGCGGAGGGGGCGAGTCCGGTCCTATAGTCAATTAAAAACATGGAATTGCTTTCTGATTAGCCCCCTTTATGCAACATGGATAGAGTGTGCGGCATAACAACCACACCTTAGGCTATTCTGAGCTTGCAATAAGGTCCCCAAAAGCCGTGCAAGGATGTCAAGCAGGTGAGAAAAAGGAGAAAAAACGTTGGGAAAGGACTTGGTGGCCTTGGAGCAGCCATACATTTCTCTCGTCAGCCTTGTCCAAAGAATGCTGAATTTCTATGCTTGATGATACACCTTTTTACATGAAAAGCATATGGTACTAATGTGCTTAATTGATAGAAGAGCTTGGTAATGGAAAAGCTTAGATCAGAAGGGGAATTTGAGAGAAATTAAGGATGAAAGTACAGCAAGTTACAAAAAAGTGCACATTCATTGAGAGGAATGAATGGGCTTTAATAAAACTAGGTGAAAGGCAAAACTATATTTTTAAATAAATTTTGCTTGGAATTTAGCAACATCAAATATGCCTTTTAGACTAGCAACCACTGCATTAAGTAAAATTATTGAGGAATCTAGGCCATAATGATTATACTTCTATGTGTGACCTTGCACTGTTAACACTTACCATATTACATAATTTCTTACATAATCCTTTTATAAGCAGAATAGATTACCAAAGAGAGGTTAAAGGAGAAATAATACCAACAACAAATAATAAAGAATTGAGAAAATAGAGAATTTGCCACACCTTTTCAATGCAAATGAAAATGCAAATTGATGGCTTATTTCTAAGTAACAGATTTATTGATATTTATTTACATATTTATGCATATATACATATGGATACTTAGTCTTTTCACTTTAAATGATACTGAAAGTATTTAATACCTTAGTTTGTGTCAATTGAAGATTTATTTGATATGCTTTAAGGTTTTAAAACCATAGGAGTAGTTTGCAGAGAAGTATACAGTTTCATTATTTGGAATAAGAAATATGTATCATGTAAGAAATATTGAGAAATGCATTGTTTATTTTCCCTTAATTTTTCCTTGGGGAAAGAAGTCATAGATGAGAAATATCCAGCCGAGTAGACTTCTTCACACTCGTCTTTAGTTAAAGATAAACGAGTGCTAATTTTTTAAATTTTTTATGCCGAGCCTTAAGAATCTTTATCAATGCATTCTACATCTACAAAATCTGCAAAAACAAAAATGGAAGAAGTCTTGAAATGACCTCGACAAACCACTCACAGATTAGACCGGTTGTTCCTGCTGCTGGAGACAGGAGGCTCTGGCGTTACACGGCAGGCGGCAGCACAACAGCTAGGGGAAGTGGTTCGCCTGCATCCCCACGATCTTAACTACCTCCTGAGTCGCGTCCATGTGTACCTGAGCTCTAAGTCATGGGAAACGAGAATAGCTGCAGGTCTTGCAGTCGAGGCCATAGTGAGGAACATTCCGCAGTGGAATCCACAGCCTGTGAAGAGAGGTGTGCCTTTGTCTCTGTTTTGAATGACTCGGATTCTTGGACTCTTACAGTATGATTCTGTAGAAACTATATTTATGCAAATTATGATTATAATAGTGAAAGGAGTAGTATTTATAGAAGTATTAACTGCAGATAATGATAATGAAAATGATAATTCTCATGATAATAAAGAAAATAATTAGAATGATAATGAAAGTAATTGTTATAATAAAGCAATAATGATCAGCATCATTATATGTTATTTTGAATATAATGATGATAATAATAATTATTATTATCTTTATTAGTAATAGAAATGGAAATAGTATTTGTATATTTTTAATGATTTTAATTAATAATGGTACATTAATTTGTTTTTGCCATTATTAGTAATGATGATTACAACAATAATGATAACTAACAATAACAGAAATGATATAATAATGATTATCAATATTAATATTATTGGTGTTAATATTATTGTTATTATTGTTATCATTATTTTTATTGTTTTTCTTATCAATATTGTCATCATCATTATCTTTAACATTATCATTATTATTAT